GACCAGCCCCAACTGGCCATCTGAGCCAAGGCTTTGTCTACCCGGCTCTTCAAAACCTCAAAGGATGAAGACTCCTCCACCTCTCTAGGGAGCCTGTTCCAGTGCTTCACTACCCTCCTAGTGAGAAAGTTTTCCCTAATATCTAACCTCAACTTCCCTTGCTGCAACTTGAGCCCATTGCTCCTTGTCCTGTCATCCATCCTCTTTGCAACCCCCTTTAGGTAGTTAAAGGCTGCTATTAAATCCCCCTCAGTCTTCTCTTCTGCAGACTAAACAAGTCCATTTCCCTCAGCTTATTTTGTGAAATCACCTACCCCAGCCCCTGAACCATTTTTGCTGCCTTCGGCTGGACTCCAATTTGCCCACAACCTTTCTGTAGTGCGGGGCCCACAGCTGGACACAGGACTCCAGATGTGGCTTCACCCGTGCCAAATAGAGGAGAAAAATCACTTCCCTTGACCTGCTGGCAATGCTCCTACCATTGCAGCCCAAGATGCCATTAGGTTTCTTGGCAGCAAGGCCACACTGCTGTCTCCTGTTCAGCTTCTTGCCCACTGTCACCCCCAGGTCCTTTTCTGCAGAGCTGCTGCCCAGCCAGGCAGTACCCAAGCTGTACCAGTGCATGGGATTGCTCCATCCTAAGTGCAGGTCTTTGCACTTGTTCTTGTTGAACCTCATGAGATTTCTTTTGGCCCAACCCTCCAATTAGTCTAGGTCTCTCTGAATCCTAACCCTGTGCTCCAGCACATCTATGCTGAATCCTAGCCCTATGCTCCCCAGCTTGGTGTCATCTGCAGACTTACTAAGGGTGCACTCCATCCCATCTTCTAGGTCGCTGATGAAGACATTGAACAAAACCTGCCCTGGGACTGACCCCTGGGGCACTCCACTTGATACCAGCTGCCAACTAAACTTTGAGCCATTCACTACTAACCTCTGGGCCCCACAATCCACTCGGTTTTGTATCCACCTTACAGGCCATTCATCCCACCCATACTTCCTTAGCTTGCTTGCAAGAATGTGGGAGACCATATCAATAGACTTTCTAAAGTCAAGGTACACCACATCCACTGGTCTCTCTGCATCCAGAGAGTCACTCATCTCATCATCGAAGGCACCAGGTTTGTTGGACATAATTTCCTAATCACCACCTTCTCCTCCAAGTGCCTAGAAATGGATTCCTTGAAGACCTGGTGAATGAGTTTTCCAGGACCTGAACTGAGGCTGATCTATCTGGAGTTCCCCAGATCCTCTTTCTTAAAGATGGGCACTATATTAGCCCTGTTTTAATCATTCAGGACCTCTCCCAATCACAGTTTTCAAAGATAATAGCTAGTGGCTCTGCAATCACATTGACCAACTCCCTCAGCACCCATAGTACTTACACAATGTATTTCACTTTAAAAAAATAAAGAGACCAAGCCTTTCAGACAGTGTACTCACTATCGATCTTCAGGAAAGCGTTTCTCCCAGCATTTAGGAGGAAGACATAGTGAGATGCATGCAAAAGGGAAGAAAAGTCACCCATGTGGTGGAGCTGCCTCTCAGAAACAGCATGGGCCATTGGCTAAAGCAGTGGTTCTCAACCTTTTGGCTCAAGGCACCCCTCATTGGTTTTGAGGCATCCCTCAGAAAATGCCAGCTCTGAGTTTTCATTTGTTTTATGACTTTGGAAAAATAAAAGAGCTTTTTTTGTTTTTTTTTTCTGTTGCACTGAACTCAGAAAACCCACAACAGGTCAGGATGCTTTTAACACTCTGGATTCCTATTTGAAATCTCTGGGTTTACCTTGTGAATCATGATTGCACACTTGTGGCACCCTCGAAAGGACCTCGAGGCACCCCAGGGTACCACAGAACATCACTGGATTAACAGGTTTCATTCTCTGAGTTAAGCCTCCAGAAACGTCCGAGGTTTATCCATCCATGATACCCACAAGGATCAAGTTAGGCTCAAGTAGTCTTCGTAAAATGCCTCAAGATTGTCAGTGGACTATATCACAGTTAGACCAAGGGCTTTCCTAGTGTTATAACGTGTGACAACTCCACGAGCACATCCATGCACTCCTTGCTCACTTCAGTCTTTCAGCTGGTTCCAGCTGCTGTTATCAGTCAGCTCTGTCAAGTAGGTAGTTTTATTCACAGGCAATGCGGCAGCCAATAAAGAGCATGGATGCAGGGTGGTTATGGGATCTCGCTATGGATCCAGAGGCATGGGCTTCAGCCTTGCTCCAAATCAGTGCCAGCAAATGCTCCCAGTCAAAGCTTACTGGACACAGCAGTAACCAGCACGTTCCCTGGGAACTGGTGTGCCTTAACCACACGAGCCCGGAGGGCTCAGGAGGGACCTTGGACCTGTTTCACAGCCGATTGGCAGGTTTTCCTTCAGAGGGTTAAAAAAAAAAATCACCTCTGTAAGAAATGGCAAATTCAGCTTGAAAAACATATATCAAGTAGCCTCCCATAGCCTGAATGTAGGGAGAGAGCTCCTCCGCCTCCCTGCTCACCCCATGCCCGTCTGCAGCACTGTCCATGCTCAGGCAAGGGCACGTTCATCGCACGTCTTTGGGCCAACTCACTTCTTCTGTGATTTCTTTCCGGAGGCCTTGTTTCCACCACCTTTCCCACCAGCCTTACCTCCATCAGCTTCTTTCTCACCCTTCTTTTCACCTCCTGGCTTCTTGTCACCCCCACCCTTTTCTCCATTTTTCTTTTTGGCCCCATTTTTCTCCTTCCCTTCCTTGTTCTTCCCTTCCTTGTCTTTCCCTTCCTTCTGCTCCTTTTCGCCCTCCTTCTTTGATTTCTTGGAACTTTCTTTCTTGTCCTTGTCCTTCTCCTTGTCCACTTTCCCCGACACGGTGGGCACCTCCTCCTCCTTCTTCTCCTGTGATGTCTGAGCTGTAGAGCATAGAGTGGGGAACAGAGAACAGAAAGTCAATTACTTTGGGGCAGCTTTCAGCCAGGTCCTGGGGACCACTCGGATGATCTAATAATCCCACACCCTCTATATTTCCTTTTTGCACCTTGATTGGCTGCTGTTACACCCTAGTGTTGCATTAACGCTAGGGTATAACTTGGAGGGGCAGGACGATGTTGCATAGATACCTTGAAAGGGCCTTGCCTTGACACCATTGACCTCAATGAGAATAACTATCCTTGGCTGGAATGGAGCCAGGATTTGGGTCACTGAGCATTTTCTATAGGTGAGGTATGGCATGCAACCCAAGGCTAGGGAGAGCTCCCCTTTGCTTTGTTCCTTTTAGAGCCAGGATGGGGTTTTCCAGGTGTTGGGATGACCCTGGCTATAAAGGCTGGACTCAGTTGTGAATGCAATTGTCTCTGTATTGAATCATAGAGAAGTTGGGCTGGATGGGACCTCCAGAAGTCATCTAGTCCAACTGCCTGCCTGAGGCAGGATCATCCCTATCCAAACCATCCTATATGGGGCAGATAAGGGAAAATTCCCAATTCTTCCCTTTAAGTCTTTCCCTCCCATACATGGATGCACACACACACACACACACACACACACACACACACACACACACACACACACACACACACA